TTTTTTCTTATAATTCGAACAGTGTGAATCGTACAAAATCGCCATCTTTCACGTCACAGTCTTTTCTCCTCTTCACGAATGAAATCGCTGAATCTCTTGAATCCCTCGTATTTTCCTTTCGAAACTTTGCCAAGCACCGACATGTTTTCATTCTCCTTCGTGTTACGCATCGTGATACGTAAAACAACTTTGACGTGTTCTTTTTCGCGCGCAAGAAGCTCGCGCATCGACATTCGAGGATGAATGTTTCCTGTCTTTTTATTATTATTATTATCATTATCATAATAAAAGTGGAATAAAATATGCAAAGATACATGAATATAAATTATTCGAAGTCCTAAATTTCCATAAATCGTCAAAGATTGGCAAACGTTCCTCTTCGTTGTGTTAATATCCCAAGCTGAATCAAGAGAGTTTGTGACGGATTCGTTTCCCCATAGGTTTGAATACATGGGGCTGGTTGGAACAAGGTGGAGCAAAGAATTAAAGCAGGCAACCTCAAATATTTGAATTAATTTGTATGACAATCTCTGTCATGCCAGAGGTTCCCCCTCCCCCCTCGGGAAACCTTACGCGCCCATCAACTTGCATTCAGTCACGTAGGAAGTTTATCGGGGAGAAGTTCATCGTGCATGCAGAATTCATCAGAGAAAATGAATGAAACCTCTCATCCCCTCTAATTCATCGTTTACGCATATTGTCGTAACTTTCGCTTTTACAGGGTTGCGTGTTTTTCTATCGTAGAATTTGTTTGGCGATTAAGAAAATCGTTCGCTTGAGAATGGTGAAAAAAGAAATACTTTGAAAAAAGTCTTTGTCGTTAAATTTAATTTAAATTATCAAATTGTATTACCCGTTCTTTTGACGTTCATTCAAGAATAAAACAATGGTTTCGAAACGATGGTTCTTCAAATACGATCAACTTAAACTTGTTATGGTTTGCAAGATTAAACGTTCAAATCTTTTAATCGTGTATGTGATTGTGATAATCTTAACGATTTGAATTTCTATCTATTAAGTGTATTAAAACAGTGGAGGATGGAAATGAATATTTATATATATTCTTATGATTATAATAAATTAATAAATTGGTTTTGCTCCACAAAATAAAATTATCGTGCAGCATTTCATATCGCTGAGTGAACGAATAATAGATTTCTTTTTTTTTTTTTTTGTAAACAACTCTGTTGAAAAATTTCAAGCAAATATATTAATATGAATATATTAATTCGATCGATACACAAAAGAACCGCTTCGCATATTCTGGAATGAAAGTAACAATTTTTATTGCATTCGAGACGATTCCGAGAAACGAACGAAGCGAACAATTTTCTCTTTTCATCTCATCAAAATATTGCCCGTACTTTTAAAACTTCGTGTTTTCTTAGAAGCGAAAATCTGAAAACAATTATTCGAACGATCATCTCGAATAAAAATATATTTCGACAGATCGAAAGGCAATGATATATTTTTAATTATTTACCGATGCTCAAAAAATTGAAAATTTGTAACAATAAAATTTCCACTTCTAGACAATTGCTCTTCAAACTTTGCATTTTTCGACCTCGTAAACTCGTTCGCTGAATTATCAATTATTTCATAATTTACGAATCTCTCTCGCCATCGATATCCTCTCTTTCTCTCTCTCTCTCTCTGCTTTGCGTTCGTATCATTACAGCCACGAATTGGATAAAGAACGGAAAGAATTAAATTTTATCCCAGGCGGGGCACGGTTTGAATTTTCATTCGGTTAATGCGCCACCGATCGTTGCTCGCTCTCCCATCGAGCGGACGACATAATTGATTTAGTACACTGGATTTAACAGGGAAATGAATTTTATTTGTAATCCGTCGCTGCGAATTATTTACCTTTAATGCGACCTATGAATAATAATCGCGCTCGCTCTCTCGCCCTTACCAACCTCGTCGCCCTTCTCCTCCTCCTCCTCCCACGCTCGTCGACTCGATATCGGACCTCTTCGTCCGATTATGATTTCGAAATTACCAGAAGTGTGTTTCGTCGATGATGACCGTCCATATAAATTATTCCCTTTACGCACGAATCGCGTTCTTCGTGATGTGAATCGCGTTTGTCACGTTGCGCGTTTCGCAGAGTGGACACAGTTGCGAATTTTAGTACGAAACGAAAATGTCGATCAACGTTTTTTTTTTTTTTTTTTTTTCTTAATTGCACGATGATAATTGCAGATTCGAATATTTTTTAAATAATATTTTGTACATCTTCCTCGAATTAATTAAGATGGTTCAAATAATAATAATAACACTTTTCATAGTGACAAAGGGAGTAATAAAAGGGAGTGTGAATTATCACCAATTCTATCCCCAGATACATCGAAAACAGTATTAAGCTATATTATACAATATAATTAAATGTCTGCGTAGTTAAACGTAGTTATTCTAATGAAATCCTGTTACGTTTCCCTCGTAGTCAGCTCACGTTCATGAGTCATTTTCAAACGAAAATTCGGCTGCTTATTTAAATCGAATAAATTGATTCTACCAAGAGAAATGTTGAATCTTTTGAAAATAATAGAATCACTTAATCGATATATATATATTTGCTTCGCATTTTCTTCTTTTTTGCTCCCTTTTCTTTCCAATATTTATATATATCCAATACAAACTTATTACTCGAGAGCACGGGGAAAGTCGTTATTTCAGGTGAATGGGGAGGTAAAGAAGCCGGATCTCGCGATAGACCCTCCCCTTCCGGTCGAAGACACCTTCGACGGAAAAAAGTTTTCGCGGAATCGTGGCGCGAATATCGAGTTTTCACGCGGCAACTTCGCTTCGGTCCTGAATTATTATCACGCTTGGCCGGTCTAATGTAAAGGGGGGGAAGAGAGATAGAGAGGAAGAAAAAATAGTTGGGACGAAGCGTCGTAAATTTCGTTCCCAAGTCCCTGCCGTTCTGCGTCATAGGTCTAATTTGAATTTCAATTCCGGCCGCGATCGGTGCGGGATCGTTTACGAAACTTCAAACGTTAAAAACGCGTTCTATTACTCGACTCGGGGAGAGAAGCGAAAAGATGAAATTATTATCTGGATTCGATGAAATATCGTGTCAAAGAAGACCAAATTCCTCCTCTTGCAATTTCTGTCTCGGATTTGCAATGCCATTCAAAGATTTGTTCTAAAAATATAAACCCTTCGAGGATAGTAAGGGTACGAATTTTGTTAATCTACGATAAAATAAAACATCGAATAAAAAAAGAAATTAGCACGCACAAATGTAGAATCTTATTTTTTCAAATCTACAAATAAATCTTAAAGTTTTATTATCCTTTTGTTACACTTCTCTCTGGGATCGCTCGTTAAATTTTCGATCGAGGCAATTTTTATTTTACGAAAAACGGGAGGGGGAAAATATTCGTCGTGTATCATCACGAATATATACGAGAGAGGAAGAGATGAGATAAAAATCGAAGGAGGAACAACATCATCCGATTACAAGCTCGACGATGGGCCAGCTCCAAGCACCGAGTCGCTCTCTTTTTTTCTTTTCCATCCGAAGTTAAATCGTTAGACGCGATATGCTCGCAATAATATCAGCACGTTTATCGAGAAGCGATCGTGCGCCACCGGTTCGTCGCGTAAAATATGCAAGGAGGGCATCAGTTATTTAACATGTAGGGGAAAGTTATCGCGTAGAGTGTCAGTCAGCGTTCGATATGATTGGTCGTTGAAGCGTACGGGTAACGTGAGATGCGGCCGGACTCGAATGTCTGTCGAATTACCTGGTTGGAACGTGGCCGTTTCACCCGATATGTCGTGCACCTCGATGTATCGTATTCAAACTAACCTCGGCGTGGACAATGGATAGGTGCCGACGGGTATCGTAAAGTAGGTATTGTTTTAATTTTTGGAGGCGTTGGATGATCGATTGGTCGATAAAGGGAATTGTAACCGAAAGGGTTTCAGACCGAAATTTCAGATTCGTATTGTTTGTTTTCAATTCAGGCGTGTTACGATTATCGATAACGTTCGATCGATGGAACAGTTTCGACAGATTTCCCTTCCGGTAACGTGAACAGCCTCTAAAGGTTTTAATTCGTGTTTTCATGGTAGATGATTGCGGTAGGATGAAATTAGGGATCGATTAACATTTTATTTTTGACGAGAGATTTTCAAATTTTTTGCTCGTATTTAGCTTCCATGGAATGAATTTCGATCGTTACTTCGTTCTGTCTGTAAAATATTTTGACAAAACGAAAGAAATTCTTTGCAAGAATTTTTTTTTAAGAATATTTCTATTCTATATTTACGAGAGTATAAACTTGAACGAGAATTACTGATACTTCGGGGATCGCAGTACCAACTTCGTAACACGTTTACTAGCAAAGTTTCAATAAGCCATAAGATAATACGTCACGGTGTGCACATGCTCATTTTCCCTCGATTTACATCGTAATTCGAGAATTACAAGTCTTGTTAAGGGAGGGAAGATATTTCTTGATCATGAGTAGAATTTATGAATTTCGTTGCTTTAATTAATCTCTTGCTTCCGATCGAACGACGTTTCACTCTGTTAAAAGAATTCCTTTCCTCGGCGAGCTTCGATCGCAAATATCAAGTAAGAATCAAGAATTAAGAAAGAATAATAATAATAAAAAAAAATGGGTATTCGTCAAACTTTGTGGCACAGATAGCTACAAATCATAGAAACATAGAATAAAAAGTTTACAGGTTGAAAAAAAGATTTTTTATTTTTTAAAATTTTTTTAAAAAATCCCTGTATTTCTACTTTGATCACTTTGATGTTTGTATACGAAAATTATTTAAAAGATCAAAAAGATTATCTTACATTGTTGCGTGTTGTCGCGCCATCTTCCTCTATTTCCAAAGAATTACCGTAAATCTATCCGATTAATTTATCAAAACGAATGAATATCCATATCGAGAGAGAGAGAGATGGAAACGTTTCAGCGTTAAATTCGAGTAGAAAGATTGTCGACCCTTTGATCCTCCCATTCGCTCTACTTTGTTTGCTCGAGTTTCATCTCTCTGTCAACTACACCAAATGGTTACTACACCAAAGGTTATGCAACAAACGTTTTAACGAAATTAACGAAACATTATTTCTCGAAATGAAGGTAAGGTCGCCTCGTATTTTCTAAAATTCGACTATCGTCGCAGAAATTGAATTTTCCGTGTCGTTGATCAAACTCGTGGACGAAATTTCTGGTACTTGCACCCCAATCCGTAAGATTTCCCTCCAAGTTTGAAACGAGGTTAAGGTAAAAAGGTAAGAATTTCCTTAGCTAATTTAGCCTCTCTTCCGGCTAAGAAATTAATGCTACGCGAAAAATTAATTCGTTCACGGTGAATTTTCAGGAGAAAACTTCAGAAGGGAAATTATCTTCCATCCATCGAAAATATCGATACCCTTATCGAGACAATCGTATCTATTTGCACTATCTATTTCCCGCAATCTCGATAATCCAAGCTCGATATCGGCGAGCCTCTTTAACACACGATTCGATAATATTGTCACACGATGCGGTAAATTTCGTGCCGCAAATCGGGATCGGGCGAAACCGTGTACAGCTCATAGCTGTACGAGGAAACCGCGCGAGATCGTCCCTGTAAAATTCGAAATTCCTCGGCGCAATGTTAATCGTGGCGAAAGCAAAATGCCAATCCGCCGATATTATGTTACGCGGCCTGTACTCTCGTGCGGGCACACAGAGACGGCCGACATCGACATCGTCGCATTGTAACCAATCCCCCCTCCACACACACGCGCTATCCATTAATCTGCAGACGCGCACCCCACTCCACGCACGAACCCGCGTATATTTGGCGAACTGTCCCAAACCCCCCCGACACACCTGTGCACGCATGCACTTCGACACTGGTCAATACGGGGTAGACCGTGGAATTTGATCAGCCTGATTGTTTCACTCGTTTGTCCAACTGCCCTTTCTTTGCCTTTTTCGATAACTTGGCTGCGAAATCAATTGGGAGAAGCTTGCTCTTCCTTCGTTGGTCTCGTTTTCGAGAAAGGGGAATAAAAATGATAAAGGTGATTGATTTTTCGAATTTTTAATTTTGGATAATTTCCTTATTCGCTGTTGCTAAATTTTTAAATATCGTCGAATAATTGTTCGAATAATTTTAAGGGAGAAAATCAATTAAACCGTGTCTGAAGGTATAAAAATAAACTGTATCGCGCGATGATGAAACGCTTTCAAATTCCCCGGGTAATAAAATTCGTTATCACGATTCAATAATAATTCCATTTTTCCCGGGACCAGGAAGGTATTTTAATCCGTTTCGACGTGTCCAGAGAGAATGTTAATTTTGAAATCCACCCTCGCGCTCGTGTGCGTCGTAGCCCACCTTGTCCGTGGTCAATATCACGTGTAGAGTGGATGCGCAGTTGGACAAGGTCTCCTCGTAAATTGAATTGCAGCCTGATGCGAGGTTTATGCTCCTAATGAATTATTTGCCCTGTCCACGTAAAACAAACTCCAAGATTGCGGAAACCCTCCTGTTTGCCCACGTTCGCTAATAAATACGTCCGGTATATCGGTCTGATAAGCACCGCTCGGCTCAGAGAGACCGGTTTGTTTGTCTCTCGCTCTCTTACAAACGCTGCATTTTAATCTTCGAGCGTATCTATTGCACGAAATGATTCCCGCAATAATCTCGTCGAAACACTTGCGAATCCTGTGCGTTTTTGAAGATTCCTTCAGGGTAGGGTAGAGTGAATATAAAGGGAATATTTGCTTCACTTGTAAATTCATTAAATTTCTATAAATAAGAAATATGATAGAAAGTATCGAGTATACTATTCGTTAGAGTTTGACAATGTTTTAACGATAATAATTTTTAATTAATATACATTTTTCTGCATTTCCCAGCATCTACGAATATATATTTAAAAAGGAAATGTATGTCATCTTTAAAAAAATTTACATCCTTCGTACATCTGAAATTAAAATTATTCCCATAGTTTTTTTCAATTAGATTAATTTCGAAAGCTTGGAAAAAATTCACTCAACGGTGAACTTATCAACATCATTTCACTTCATTAATTGCAAAATTTTTCAACCCAACTCGTATACACGAAGAGCTCTCAAAACCTATACCATTTATTCAAGTATAAGTCAAAATAAAATCTTGAATTTTAAAAATTTTCAAGATAATCCAAAAAAAAAACAGATATTAATATATTTTCATAGATATTTACGATAATGTAAAGATTCGTTTCTTTTGAAAATATCATTTTCAAATTTCTCTTTTTTCGCTTTCTTTCTCCATGCATATTTTTCTGAATTTTCGAAAACGAAAAATCCTTCCTTCCTTTTTTTTTTTTTTCAATTAAAATCACAGTGCATCGCGTTATCCACAGCCATTTAAATCTTTTCGCTCGTAGTTAGACGTTCGATCGCGCGACCTCGCCCTCCTCTCCCCCTTCCCCCAATAAAAACACAACAGACGCATAGAAACACGGTTACGGTATATTGGAATTTGCGAGCGAGAACCTTTGAATTTTACACTGGACGCCGGTTCGTTCATTAACACGCGCTAGAGGGTGGACGATAATGGCTTTTCTACCTACGCTTCCTACCTACGCGCGTTGAAAGCGTTGGTAAAATATTCGTATCCGCATTGCTCCACAATTAATTTTTCCCCAAATACGTTCCGATAAAGGTGTGTATATTCACCGTCCCGCACGAGGGGTTGAAAAGGGCGGACAGTGGCAATCTTGATTATTCCAAGTGATAATTAAGGCCGCGTCTTATTATTGTTATCCATCCGTTCGTTTGAAATGATCCACGTTGAAAAAGTTGCGCACATAAAATTTTGAAATTTATCGAGAGAATTATCCGTATATATATTGAACGGTAAACGATACAACGAATCGATACAACGATGCACAGATATCTCATTAACGGTCAAACGAAATTTTACAAAGGTGATGGAATATTCGCATCTCATTGGTAGATGATAGGTATAATTATAACTTTATTTCGATTTGGATAGGGGCAGCCATCCCCTCCGTAGTTTAAAATTTAATCCGATATTGCGGGCGCGCAAGATGAATGGGAAGATAATTTTAATCGATAGCAATGACACGTGTAATCATGATCATCGATATTACTCGTATAAATGGGTTACTTTGAAGTGCAAGTAATATCCTAAATTTCCTCTTGTTTATGCATTCGCCATTCCCATCGTTAAAGGTGGATGCATCTGTACACATATGCATATGCACACCGCCCAAATGAACATGTCAAGAGCATAACGCACTTGCGTACTAATGTACGTTGCGTGTTGGTACTGAGAAGTGTGGGCGGGCTGAGAACATTGCCGTAAATCCGATATCCATCCGAGGTGACGATTATTGGTTGAACCTAGCACATTGTATCCTTTGATCTGTCCTCTCGTTGATATTGATCGACCGTCATGGATTTTGGGCGATAATTCTGGTAATCAATCCGGTAAACATATTGAAAATCGTAGAATTGGAATTTCATTGCTTAATAATCGTTAAATTATCCTCTTCTCTCTCTCTCTCTCTCTCTCTCTCTGATTATCAATTGAACGATAAAAAAAAAATCGAAAGAAAACAAAATGGTAAAGATATTAACGTTATATGATTTTGTCGCATAAAAGCTAGACATATTCTTGTTATAATTTTTAAATAATTTTAAAGATAATATTTGTAAAGACGCTATTTAGTCAAATGACATCCATTAGAGTGATTCAACAAGAGAAGAGAGAGAGAGAAGAAAAAAAAAGGTCAAGCTAACTCGAGTTAAGAGATGAAAAGAAAAGTTTCCCCGAAAATCCTCCCGTACGATATTCTCCACGAGTTGTAAATAGCCGGTTTACTTTCGTCCGCTTGCCTGCCAAGAAAATCAAGTTGTTCTAGGGGCGCGAGGGTGAGCAGACGCGGAAACGCATGGAGCACGGGCCTTACGCACTCGTGCGTGAGACCGTTCAAAGTCGTGGCAACAAACGCTTTCCAAAATTGCATTAAGAGCCCGGTTCCCACTTCACCACGTATCCGGTGAGTCAGGTAGCGTTTGAGAAGTGCCGAATGAATGCAATTCTTGCGTACAAAGTACACGCGGTTTTTAAACACCCCCTGTAAAGGGCGCTCGTGGCCCGTGAGAGAGAAAAGCACGCCTTTGAGGGAATTCTCTGCCTCGCCCGAACAAGGAAGAATCTACTTTTCCTTCCTTTTTTTTTTCTTTTACG